AAAAAAAAAACAAGTTATAACCCTAATGCTCAAATGTGATTCTCCGTTATCCCTTATAGGGTGGTTCTATAAAATGACAAATAGAAGCCCTAAACCTTGAACATTATAATAGCAACCCTAACATTGACAGTAGCCCATATGAGGTCGCCGGAGTAGAGCCGGAGGAGAGATCTAAGGAATTAGGGTTCGGGGGTTAGGGCGCAGAAGGTTTGGGTCTAAATAGCTACCAAGATCATTGCAGTCACGAAAGACTCAGATGGGGAAGAAGAAATTGGAAAACAAAAATGGCAGCTGGATTTCTATGGGGCATTACAAAATTTTTTATGTAGTGTAGAAACCTCCATATTTCCGAATGGGGCTCATACCCTAAACTGCATACTCTAAACCCTACATGGTCCTACATGAGATCATGCCCCATTTCAGTACCTGTGGGCCAAATGGGTAGTAGGGGTTATAGTAACCCCTTAATAAGCCACTTCAAGGGCAGTGACTGGGAGGGTGCATGAACCAAGTCATACATGACTTTACCAACCTATGGCCGTGTACCACTCACGACACCTAAAGCCTAAACCCTAAACCCTTGGCAAGGGCAGCACTTTGTAGAAACCAGGCGGCCCTAGGCGAACAAAGTTGGAGAAGGAATGGTCCACCTTGCAGGCTCCGAGGGTTTCATGTTCAGGGCTTTAGGTTTGGGTTTAGGGTTTAGATGGGTTTAGGGTTTAGGGGCTATTGCTTGTAAAGTTGAAAGCCTGAAGCCCATTTGGGAATGTTTCCCATGAAAACTACAATGTAAGGTGAGGTCGGGACTGAAAGCCTAGATCTAATTTGGCCAATGTGCGGCATGAATTGGCCGCGTGACAGAGTAGGTGAAACTTTCGATACTTACGCTGCCCGATACATGTTGCTGCGCAATGCCCCTCCCGGCGCGGTGGAGCTGGAGAAGAGCAGCCTAATCCCCCTCAAAACAATACAACAAACTTAGTCTCGAAGCTCTATTGACCCCATGCCTAAACCTAACTCTGACAATCATCGTAAACCTTCATCGGCTCGGAATGATGTACTCAAGGCAAGCTTCGTACACAGACTTGGCAGGCTGAGCCAGAGCAAAACATCCCGTGACAGCCCCCAGAAACTCCCCCTACAGAAAGGAGTTAATGGAAGTGAATGCACGGAGCTGCCGAAGCCGCAAGTGAACAAGCTGAGGAGTTCCCTGAAAATGGATTGAAATAGATACGGGGTTCGTGAAGCAGGGTCAGCAATGCAGAGGCAAACATTCAGCAGCAGTCATGCAAACGCAGAACACCGCCGCCTGTGGCACAAAGAAAAATCTCAGCTAAGGTCCGGACGGTGTCAGCGGGATGATGCATTCCTTGTCTTCAGCAGGTGACGTGATGGATTTCTTAAGCTTACTGGTGCTTAGTAGGAAATAGGGGAATAGAAGCCCTATACTACCCTGCTGAAACTCCAATGGTATGTACCCGTAATACACCAAAGCTGAACAAACAATTGTAACGTGCTACGATATCACTGAAGGTCTGCAAAACTTCAGTCGGTTCTTGAAATTACAAGTAACAAGGCCTGGGGACTTCTGCAACGCTGAGAAAAGGTTCAAGAATATGTTCAGGGCACCTGCTATGCCTATGACGTAACTTGAACATAGAAGCCATTGGATTTAGGCCCATATGGTATGCTCTGTTAAGTTGCTTGGATCCTTTGGGATATGGATAACGGCTTGCAGTCCTCTCACATCACTCCGCTTCGAGACAAATGGTGCTACAATTCCACAATGCGGACGCTCAGACCTACGAGGAAAGAGAGAATCATTTATTCCATGCTACTGATGCTGAAGAACTATGCTGCCATGCCACTCTCGCGAAATAATCCACGCAAAACTTGCAGCTTCTTGAGCTAGATGCTTCAGAACTGCTTCCCTTAAGTGTGACATGTCCTGAGCTTCTGCCACTAAAGAAAACTTGGCCAGAACCATCCGTGCTTGAATGGGTCCTGTAATCCTTTTAGCAAGCGCGCTGCGCTGTTGTAGGCACTTGGGTTTGCAAGGGGTTGTCGCCCAAGCGCGACAGTCTCAATCCAGCGGCTCGAACGTTTTCGTTCCCCCCCAAACCCGGAACCTTTGAAACCTTCCTAAACCTCTGGCTACAGTTCATCTAAAACGGGGTAATTTATGCTTTCGTCCTCCCTCATAGAAGAAAACAACACAGCAAGTCCACCTATGGTCCCGCCACCTACACCAAGGCTCCATGCAGGTAGTACTTATAGACTGTACGGCCCGGTGTAGGCATTATTTATAGACTTAGAGCCCAAGGCTAGAGTCGACCCTAAACCCTAAACCCTAAACCTTAACGCACCCTAAGCTCTAAACTCCTAACCGCTCTGCTGAGGAATGGCCACTGGCGGTGGTGATGCCCAAGGCGACTGCAGGATTCAACTCACCTCTCTCAGCATTCTTCCTAAATACAATAATGGAAAAGCAAATGGAAACTACTAGATTTAGGGTTTAGGGTTTAGGACCCCAAAAGTATGCAAAATAATGGCCTTTATGGCCCTTATTATGGGTTTTAGGGCCATTATTTTACATACTTTGGGGGTTTAGGTAAGCCTAAACCATAGCGTGTAGATGTCAGCACACATATACATAGAGAGATCTATGTGCACATTTTTTTGCGTGTGCTACATAGTGCAATGGCTTGCTTGTAGTGGTCATGCTGACATCTGTAGTTGCCATACATACGGATATGCTCCTCTGAACATACTTTGGGAGATGCACAGACTGGGTTGAGAAGCATCACGGCCTGGTGAGTGAATGATACTCCTGCTTAGTTCGAGTAGCTCCGGAATCACATCCCTCAGACCAAAACCCTGCAAAGTGTGGGGGCCTCCGGTAGCAACATACCGGCTTAGCCTTAGGCCCCCCAAACCTGGAATGAGCGTGGAGTTGAGATTGTATGCTTGAAGGGCCTCCGAATGAAAGTCTCAAAGGCCTCAGGCGTCACAGAGGATGCGCAGTCAATTCCTTGAGCATGGGATAGTAAACAACACCCTGTAAACCTACTAGGGAATCCAGATCTTCTTCTGCCAATGGGAATCTCTGCTACATCACCAGCTTCTAAGACCCTTTTAACGGGTACAGCACGTTGCTCTGTGAACAAGGTCAGCACTCATGGCAACTTCACCCCTGAACCCACACCAGAGACTTCGAGCCTGACGTGACATCTTTGTATGTGCAACCTCCCTCCACACGGTACAAAGCTCTGCTCACATACTGCATGCTAATGTACACATGCTTACGTGGGAATCCAGATTCGGTTCTGGGGAGTACTATGGGACTGGATACGGACTACTCTAGGGACCTGCACATTCGCAACTATGAAGCCGGAGTGGGGGTATCCCTGGACTTTGAATATATGAGCAATGCCTGTATTTGGTCCCAACCCAGACCTTTTAAAGGATTCGAATAATGGAGCCTCATAATGACCCCCAGTTTCCCAAGGCAGTGCTAGGGCCACTGTTTCTGCTTCTGCTTTTTGGAACGTTCAGCGCGTCTGGGAAAGCTCCACAGAAATTTCGGCCTCCAGAAACCGCTCCAATTGCAAAGCCTCCAACTGTGACGCATGACCCAATGGCCAAGGCAAAGTAGAAGCCTCATTGGAGGGGGGTGTGGTTTAGGGTTTAGAAGGTCATTCACGTGTGATGTAGGGCCCTAAACAATATCATCTTGAGGTCTATGTCAGGTATCCAGTACTTTAGTTATGAGGACATGGGACCATACTATTGGCAATTACTTAGGCTTCTACACTAGGAGGGTCAGGCGGGGCTTAAATTTCAGGACTAGGCGCCTTATGGGTCCAAGCATCGAATTAGTTAGCGCTTGGCCGCCTGGCTCGTACCCCTAAACCACCAAGCGCGATTGCAGGTCAGACTTTCGGAGCGGATGTAGGGCAATGAACCAAGGACTATCAAATGGGGTTGCCACCGTGATCAGCACGGGTCGTGCAGTTGGAGCTTTGCCGAAGATCATGCGGGGGAGACCAGGCTATACTTGAGGAACAGTCACAGGGATGGGGCCCTTCGGGGTCGCCATCCTCGTAACTGTGTTTTTGACGCCTGAAAGCCGCCATCCTGGTACAGTAACTGTCGCCACTTCTAGTTCCTTGTGCTTTCGTCGCGTCTCATAAGTGCCAACAGTGACAGGGATCAGGGTGTCCTCATCGCGGTCCTCGCAACTTTCACAGCTTTGCAAAGCCTCATACTGTTGCCGCATTTGAAAGGTAGTCACAGGGGTCGGCAGGGTCCTCGTCTTATGAAAGCTTTATACAACCATGACAAAACAATATCTGTCTGCAAGCCTTCTTGAAATCTTCGATGAACTGTTATAAACCATCAATAAACGGTTAACAACCCTCGATAGACCCTGCAAAAAAAACAAATGTTAACCACAGATAACAGGCCAGAGCATCACAGGGTGTGGGGCAATAGGTTATAAACCCTATACAGACACTATGAAATCTCTACATAAACCTTCATTGAAACCACAAGAGCCAATCCACAGGCCACAGGCCCACAGGGGAGGGTGGGGCATCATAGTTTAATCCTAACTTAGAGCTAGAAGATAGCCACCGCACAACGGGGGGATGTTCTTAGCCCCAAACTTCTGCCACCACACAGGAGGCGAGGAAATCTCAGCTGTCCTGACCGAAAACCACCAGCCGTACCGTAGTATGGGAGGGAAACCATTGGGGCGCAGGAGGGGGCCGGATCATGTACTTCCCTACTAACTCCCAGTAAGTTATGTGATGCACTGCCACATGGGTGCTGATACAACTGTCCTCACAATCCTTCACAACCGGGTTTCCTGACCAACTTCGCCTATACTATACCGTCCCTCTGCCTCCTTTATCTAGGGTTATCAAGGGCTAGCTGGGGCTAATTCAGTAAGTGAGGGGGGATAAGGGAATGGTAAGGGAACCCTATGACCTTAAACCCTAAACAGCAAAGGGACTGTTTTTGGTCTTTGTGTTGCCCCCGGCGGGGGCCACTGTGGCACAGCTGAGCACAATGTAGGCCAACAGGAGTGTGGCCGACATTTCGACCAGTCCGGCCTCCCAAGTGGTTTAGGACTCAGGGTCTAAGGCTGAGGGTTTAGGGCAAGTTTACCTCACCGCGGGTTACTGGGCTAGGCAAGAGGAATATATTGTACAGCGATCATATGGGATTTTCTTATTCCCTTATTCTCTCCTAAGTCCAGTGAGCTACATAACCAATAGCCTGTAATCTAATTGTTCCCATGAACCTCATTTCGCGAAACTCTGCGGTATCCTCCCCTATACTAGTCTGGCACTTCTGGCAGCACCCCCAACAAACCCTCAACCCTAGAACCAAACTAGATAGGCATCTTACGAAATAGTAGTGTTGCCCATGCCGTTAACAGGCAATAGCTATAGGGCTCTGGGTGGATATTATAGATTTCAAAAAAAAGGTTATAACTTGAGGGTTCTCCTACCCAACCCTAAACCCTGAACCCTACATCCGGCTTCCCCGCCTGGGACATGGTGTACGCAGAGTTGGGTCCGGGTCCGAGGCCAATGTAATCGCCCTTCCTTGGATGCACTCGGCAGCTCATAGGACTTAGCTACGCTGGTTTCTGGGCTTCATAGATGATACTATTCATCATCTTACGAGGCCGGGCTACATGCCCCGTTATAGCTACTGTAAGTCCTTGACCTCCCAGTAGGGTTTAGAGTGAAAACCATCAGGTTCCGGCGCGTAAGCTTAAACTCATTGGCGGTTGATACTTAAAGTCACTTAAATCTGTAAGGAATATGCCAATCGTGGCTGTGAGTGCGATTCCTAATGCGGGCTCTTACTGGTCTTCTGTCAGCTATGGGCACTCCTGCACATCACAAGCCGTGTGCCCCTTAGTCTTGGGAATGTCGACATCAGGTCTGCCGCTGATGCAACTTGCTTTCGACGTTTGAAGATTGTTTGGAACTGCTTAGTGTTGACATGTGTTGACTATTTGTACTGCTAAAGTGGCACTTTCGTTCTTGCTCCTACAGAGCGGTATCTTAGCTGGGGGGCGGCCGCACACAGTTCCAATACCCTGGGAAAATGCTTTAACATCTCGTCTTAGCCCTAGAACAGCCTCAACAAAAGCGTGACTTATGTCTAACCCCAAATGCGCACCTTGGGTTTGGCACAGGCGCAAGTTTATTCTGGGCATTGGGGCCCATCCAAGCGAAGATCATATACAGACAGGCTGTAGATGGGTTGGCGACGAACACCAAGGATAATGTGGGAGTTACTAACGACTATGGCATTTCGGAGGTCCTCATGGGCCATGAGTTGCAGGCCCTCAACTGCTTTCGTCAGCAAAGCGCAGATGGCACCCACTTGTAAAAGAATATGAGAAAAAGAAGAGTGTAATCGTTCTCCATATACATACTGGGAACCAGAGCATGTCCATTTCATATGATACTTAGGCTTAATCGCTCCGTTAAATTCCAGTATCTTCCCTGCCAAAAGAGTGGTGCCCAGTTGTTGTGCTTCAGGTGCTCAGGGTTTAGGGGCTTAGGGTTTATGGTTTAGGGTGGAAGCTTGTGCTTTTTGAGATTATGGTTCGCCACTGAGGATAATCTATAAGGACTATTATCCGATTGACTGTTTTGATGTTTTCACACTTAATTCGTATTGTTGCCCCGAAGCCCTAAACCCTTAATGCTTTACTGGTATCTTGTTTCTATTGCTATTGCTCGTTACTCTAGGAACCAGAGTTGGGATTTGGAGTGTTGGGCTCATGAATTTTCGAGGGCTAGGCTACCCAGAAAGCACAATATCAGCTGACTAGGGGTAATGTACCCAAACTCATATTTAGGGACATTGGACTTTCTGGGTATAGATGGGTATTGGCTCTAGATTGTGCTATCCTCATCTCAGCTGAACCACAAATTTTGCTTCCTGCTCTGCGGGACGCTCCGATCTTGCATAAACTCCACTAAAATCAAGTAGATCCCAAATTGGCACAATTGGATCACAAAACTTTGGACCAAGGCCCCTAGGGTTTAGGATGGTTTAGGGTTAAGGGTAACCTAAACCCTAAACCCTCCACTCGGCTAAGTCCAGCCACTTGGGACCAGCAGCATGAAACATTGCATAAACAAGGCCTTTGATTCCACGGAAGAGGGAATGTAGGGCCTAAGGGTTTCCGGGTTTAGGGTTTAGGGCTTAGGGTTTCTTGCTGGTTCTTCGTGGGGAATAAGGGAATATAATCCCTATATAATCCTTAGATAAATAATGTATTCCCTTATTCCCTACTAACCCTAAACCCTATAAACTCCCTATGTAATCCCGATATAATCCCTGTACAATAAATTCGTTTGTTCCCTACTAACCCTAAACCCTAAACCCTACATAATAAGTTCCCTTATTCCCTACTAACACCCAGTAAGGGTTTACGGTTCTATGTACTCCCTATAGAATGAACTCCCCTATTCCCTGCTGAGACCCAGTAGGGTTTACGGTTCAAGGGTGGACCTTGGTGCCTGTTTGTGGGCAGGTTCGTTTCAGGAGGGTTCCGCACCTGCGGAAATTTAGGGCTGTGGGTTTAGGATTCGGGTTGAAGGTTTAACGTTCCCTGAGGGTCCAAGTACCTAATAATCATATACTTACCCAAAACCTATACTATACGTACTATTACCCAAAACCCAAGTACCTAATTATTGGGTACTTGGACCCTAAGCCCTATACACCCTGTATATTTACCCCGAAATATATCCCCCTTTAAGGGACCTAATTATTGGGGTTTAAGGCTTAGGTTTTAAGATCTAGGGGATGAATCTGTCCCTAAGCTCTGGGCCTCGGCTTGCTCTGCAGCGCATGAATTTCGTCATGTATGCGAACTATTGGGGTTGCTTGTAGGACACTCTTCAATAGCAAGCAGGGACAAATAATGAAGTGCTAGTACGAGGTAGAAATAATAGAAATGACCACAGTACGAAGAATAGTGGTAGGTTCTTGCTGTGCGTGGTTGGCACAGCATTACCTATGCAGAGTGGCACTGAAAACTAGGAATGTAGGAAAGTCAAAGATGTCCGTTGCCGCATGCAGACCGTGTACCAGCAGGGGTCCAACATTTGCGAGGTAACAATATATCATAAACCCTATAGAAACCCTATCATCCCTGTAGTTTCCATTTTATTTTCCATTATCCCAATATAATCCCAATATATACCCTATATAACCCCAATATAATCCAAGTGGTTTCCATTTTAGTTTCCATTATCTGGGATGATGGAAAATAAAATGGGAACTACAGGGATTATATTGGGGTTATATAGGGTGTATATATATATATAAGGATTTTATTGGGATAATGGAAAATCAAATGGAAACTACAGGGATTATAGGATTTCTATAGTGTTTATAATATATTGATTGTGCAAGTGAATGAAGGTCGGATGAATGACAAACTCTATAAACGCGAAAGGCACTCCTAAAAGATCCACACCAACCGCAGAAGCAGAAAGCATGGGTGCTTGGGCTATGCTCTCAAAGACAGGATGCTGAATGCAAAGCCGCCCTACAAATGCATGGCGAGCTTTACAATCTACTTGAAGGTTCATGGGACTT